ATCATAAATACCTCTTTAAAATATGTCATCAAAACATATTTAGACATTCTGTTTAGATATTTCGGGAAAAAGGCTACCGACAAAATCTCTTCGGAACTATTTAAATAAAATAGTTTTATTCCGCAGTGAGTAAAACACTATTGTAAATTCGTTAAATATTTATTAATTAAGTGATTTTAGAGAGGAAGTCACAAGGAATGACGTTTGAAATTTCATTAACGAATAAATGTTCTGTAGGTGTTTTTGTTTATCAGGCGGTCCCTTGATAAGTTTAAAATTTGCGTGCGGTGCGGTAGTGCGGTGCACCTTCCTTGAGGTGCGCTGCGGTAGTGTGTTACGGACTTTAGAGTCAGCAAAACAATTAAAATAGATTGTAATAGTCTAAGAAAAACACGTACTCAAAATACGGTAACATTCAGCATGCTAAAAATGGGCTGATGGCACTGTACTATGCCATATCTTTATGTTTTGTGGCAAACGACAACTTTATAAAACCAGTGTAGCAAATTTTAAAAATTGTCAAATCGTTTACTTGGAAAATTTGAAGCACGAACTCGTCTTAGATTTCACATAATATCTAAATCACATCATCTTTGCACATAATAATATACTTTCTTCCTATTAAAGTATAAATTCTACAAATACAATTATCCTCAACAATATTTAAAATAAAATAAGCCAAGAACGTTTATCGATAAAACCTACTAACATTAAAATCTTCTGGGCAGCACTAAAACCGCCATGTTTTGTGGCCAGATGACGTCACAGTGGCACGAATTTTTTGTTGACGTTTCATTTCCATAGGTTTCCTACTTCAGTGCTTGAACGAGCGTCTTTTTTACATTATGTGTATACCATAGAGTTGGCTCTGTAAATTTGGCCCCCCTTTTTTCCATAGGTTTCATACTTCAGTGCCAAAATCACGCTTTTTAACCGACTTCAAAAGAGGAAGTTATCAATTCGACCATAATTTTTTATCTATGTATGTTCACCGATTTCTCGAGAATGCTTGAACCGATTCTGATAATTATTTTTTGTTTTCTTTGTTCAAGGTACTTCTCGAATATAATCATCAAAATCTGGTGATAGGATCCTAGAGAAATCCAGAAGAATGTATAATTGTCAAAGCCTATCTTGAAGTAATTTAGGATTTAGGATTTCCAATGTTGTAATGAATTTTAGAAACGTATTTATGAAACGTATTTATTTGAATAGGATTAATATCATTATAATAAGAGAAAACCTTTACTGAATATAAGGTTTTAATATGCTAAAATTAACAGTAAAATTTGTTTGTTACAATAAATACATTGACAAATAACTAATAAAACAGATTGACAATGACATAAACTTATGACTGATAGTTTCAAGTAAGAAGTTTACATCAATCATCTTTAAAAAACACCACAATAATGCTTTATTTTAGAGAATGGGGGTATTCGAAGAGACCTTCACTCAGCATTGGGTGGACACGGGTTAAAGAAAAATTTAAAAGGTGGAAATTAAGAAAGCTCGTCATGTTGGTAGGGAGATAGTCTATGACGTTAATATTATTACCGCCAAAAAAGACGATAAAAAGAGAAGAACCTTAGCCGTGTAAACCGCTGCAAAAATAAAGTTGCTATTGCTTCGATTGCGGTATTAATTAAAAGTTAATCGAAAAACATGACTTTTATGTGAAATAAAGAAGGGACTCTGTTCCAAGCCCCTCAATTATTTTAATACTAGTTACACTAAATGTATTGCAGACAAGTTTGTAAAAAAAAATGGTAAAGCTTTTTAATGTTTCGTCAGGTTTAAATGTTTAATAACAGTTGTTTATTAACTGTGAAATTGCACAAATGTGGGAAAATGAAACAAAGCCACTGAACGTTACTTCTCAGGATCTTTCAAACAGTCTCAGTAAATGACCACCATTTTACTAAGATTATATTTCATCCTATATCATCTCATATCATTCAATTTCATTTCGTTTTCATTTCATTTCATAATATAATTTATTATATTAAAGTTTTCATTAAAATTAAAATAAGAATTGACCTAAAGGTCTTAGTTACCAGGTCATAAAATCCCTTTAAAAAAAACTGACTTTGTATCACAGATTATTAAAATAGTTACATAAAAATAGGCGGGAAACCTCAAATCGGTTGCAGGTACCGTACTTTTTGATAATTTTTGTGCTATAATGTATTTTTTAAATTTAATACACTGTCATGGTCACAGGCAATATTCCTGAAACATGGAAGTCTCAAGAAGTTATAGCGATTAAAAAACCTAACAAAACTACCAATGATGTTGCCTCCTATAGGCCTATTGCGCTGTCCTCTGTTTTAACTAAGGTCTGGTGAACATCTTGTGAAGAATCGTTTAGAAAGTGTATTAGCTTCTTTCATAATCAATAATAATAATAGGATTTAATATGTTTGTGTCCATATTTTGTTTTTAACTAGCTTCTCTCGTTGTTTCCCATTGATGTATGTTTATTTTTAGCCGACTTCAAAAAGGAGGAGGTTCTCAATTCGACTGTATGTTTTTTTATGTTTGTTGCCTCATAACTTTTGACTGGGTGAATCGATTTTGAGGATTCTTTTTTTATTAGAAAACTGGCACTTCCCGTGTGGTTCAATTTTAGTCAAGTTCTGATAATTGTATCCATGAAAAAACCATATAAGTCTTAAATTTGCATTAAGTACGTGCGCGACAAATTGATGAATAGCTCAATAACTCAATATCACGCCAACCGATTTTGATGATTATTGTTTTTAGTGTATATTAATTTGTTTTGGAATATTAACTTTTTTTCTCTCTATATTTCGGTACTACAGCCCCGAGCAACAGTATTAGGTACCGTTTTTTATACTTGTATAGACAAATCGTGTATATATAGCGCGATGTGCAGTAGTGTAATACGTAAAAAATCGTTTCAAAGGAACCGGTCCTCATGAAAACAGACCAATAACAGGCAGAAAAAGAATCACTACCGATCGTGATGGCTGATTGTTCATTAGACAGTCTACAGGACCGAAAAAAACAGCTATTGACCTCGCTGCCTGTACCTGAAGCGACCGCATAACTCTAAGTGTGCATACTGTTAGAATAAGGTTTCTAAAAGCTTGATAAAAAGGTTGCAAGGCAAGGAAGAAGCCGTGGCTGTTGGACCTCAATATGAAAAATTGCTTGGAGTGGGCCCTCAATCACAAATATTGGTTTGGGGAAGATTGATTGGTCCACCTTATTAAGAGCAGACCTGAATTTGATTGAGCATATTATTTGGTATATTTTAAAGGAAAGATATGAAGACACTCTCTGATAAAAAAAACACTACACCTGGCACTGACTGAGTGGCAGCAAATGTACAAAGAAGAATGTTTTACGTTGGTAGTGTCAATGCCGAAAAGAGTGGCTGCTGTAGATGTATATAATTTAATTTTTAAAAATGTGCCAGGCGCCTTCTTTTTTTCGGCAGGAGCTTTTGGTGAGGTTCAACTCCCACATACCTGTACAATATTTGATGGTAAGAAATTTTAAGCCCACCTGGTTACTGCGAAGAAGTACTAAGCTCTGGTTTAAAGAATTGAATTGTATTTTATCTAATTATAACAACATTGTACAAAGCGTAATAAGAGTATATTACGTACGAGTCTTACGAATTTTGTAGTTACCGTAGCCATTTAACACGCAATTTAACTCTGAATTCGAAAAAATTCCAGATTTTCCTCTTTAAGATTTAGAACATTCATCCATATATGTATGTATCCTCTATTAAAAAAACTATATTTTTTAATCAGAAACCATTTAAGTATTTTTTCTAAAGTTAAGGCACAAAGTCTGATACCTAAATACAATTACCAATACCAAAATTTAAAACCAGAAGTGTAAAATATCACGTCTCACAAATAAAATTAGATCCCATTTTTTCATAAATCCGAAATTTACTTAATTTTATTTATGCTTGTATTTTATTCAAGGGTGTTCTTTAAGTTTCCTTTGTCATATCCATGAAATATGTTGTAAAACTGTGTAAGGTTTTCGTAGTAAAATTAATAAATAAAAAAAACATTTGTGGGATATCGTGAAATTTGATATTATACCTTCTCTCTAAATATGGAAAGCACCAACTCAAGTACATTATACCGCTTTTAATAAATAACCGACCTAAACTACTAAATAAGAAATAACATCAAAAACATATTTATCAAACAATATTTATAAAATATGCATTTTCAAAGTTTATATATCTTAACTAATATATTAGCGGATAAAAAATTAAGCTATAAAACAATAAAAAAAAAAGAATGAAGATTTAAAAAAAAATCAAATGATCAAAAATCAATTTATACAATAGTAACGAAGTAATAGATAAAAATAGAAAGTTTATAAGGCACTTAATACTAATTCGCTTCTTTATAATTATCATAGCCTAATAATTTACCGCATCCCTAAATGAATTATATAACAATCACGCATCTTGAAAATTAACAAAGGTTGATGAATCAATCTAAAACATATTTAGGTATAACATTAGTAAAAAGACTTAAAATCTATTTTTATAAACAAGCAACAGACGACAGGCGAAATCCTGCTATAGTTTTTATAGTTTTTTTATACTTTTTACATTTCTGCATAGTATGTACGAGTATTACTATTATTAGTAGAAGTTTGATTTGTCACATGCTCTATTTAATTCAGTCACTATATATTCGATATTTAAGCCTTATATAAATTAAACAAACAACTTCCGTACATAATGTAATTACAAATAACTTTAAATTGATTTGGTATCATCACTACCTTTATACCTTTAATGATCTAAAATAAACTGTTGATCGATTTATAACATCCTGTTTAAAATGCATTAAATTTGTTCAAACTTTTTTTACATTTATTATAAAAATCTATTTATGCAAATTACATAGAACATATAAGGTCTATTTATACATGATTTTTAAGAATTATGATTTACACTCCCAACTTTTCAGATAGGTAATAGGATCGAGCACGTATTCCATAGTAACTATTATGATAATCGATAGATATAATTAAAGACGCAAATAGTAAATATTGCAACATCCAAATTGGTATAGCTAATTGGGATGATTAGCGTACATAATCGAACCGATAGATTTTATAATATCTGAACGAGAATTAGGAAATATTTCAAAGTTCAATCGTTATCACTACGTAAAACGACCCTACGTGCAGCCGCTGGGTGCCAGAGAGGGTCCGGGGCCGGCCAGCATCCCGAGGTTTGGAAGTGGCATAAATAACATCGGCTCTATCCTTGTTCATTGATGCAGCATCCTGTATGAAAGATCTCGAGGGGTTTAATAAAAAGTTTGCTTAAATAAGGCCTAAATAAACATTCGGAACGTAAATTGACCAAGCTAAGACTCATTTTTTTTCGGGCTGAACCTCATACGAGGTAGGCGCCTAGGGGGAGTGCGGGACATGACGATCTGCAGATGTTGGAAGCACACCGCGGACCCAAGGACGTTAGGGTTCTATCGCACTAAACGGTGCGCGGTTCCCGCGGTCAACACTACAGCCAGATTCGCGGTGCCACCCCGAGGACGCCCGATCGACGGGTCGTCGAGGCGATAGTCGACGACGTGGCACGACGCCTAGGGGGAAGAAGAGCTCTCCCTCTCCCGTTGCGTGAGATGGTGGACTCGCAAAAGTCAAGCTAAGACCCCGGCCTCAACTCATGTTGTGTGCACCAACAAATATTACATGACGCCACAATCCTTAATCGAGCCGTACACTCATCTAATTACAGTAATAATAATAAAAAAAACATGGTCTCATTCATAAGAGTTATCGAAGCTTCATAAGCTTCATAAGAAGATTATAGTTTTTTTTTATTATTTATAACCCTTTGCCATACGCTCATTAATTGACTGATTTAGAAGGGTCCATCATAAATGTTCTATAGGACATTTTCACTAATATCTTTCATTCCTGACCTAAACCTTCGATTAGTTTTTATTATTTATTTTAAGTCCAGTAACGTCTACCCGATCTCCCTTATAACTACAATATGATATCACTTCACATATTCATCACGTTTTGTTATATGATATACAACTGCATAAAATAAATGTTTTACTATACTCAAATTTATAAGCAAAATGCAAATTGAAATAATTAGTTATATCAACCTAAATCGCTCTATTGAAGTCACAACCCATCGATTGATAGTGTTCCCGCGCGGACTCACAAGAGGTCCTACCACGGGACACGCGCGTGTACTGTATGACAATGCCGCGGATTCTCCATCGACTTCAATAAGTTAAGGGGCACACTGTTGAAGTCGAACATAATCATTTGTCGGTGTCGCTGACTTGGGCGAGTATATGTTTGACGATCTGGTCTATGGTGTGCGTGTCCAGCATGCGGGCGATGTTCTTGTCGTCTATCACGTACAGGAAGAGATGCTTCGTGTTCTCTCGGAGGCGTTGCATGCGCGTCCACATCGTGCGATCCGCTGGTTTAGCTCCGCAGTGCTCGATCACTTTCTCTAACACCTAAACAAAAAATAAACTATTTAGCTGAAGTTACGAGTTGTATTTGTATTGTATTGTGTGTATTATTATACCTATGTATTATTTTGTATTGTACCCACAACGGAATTAAAGTACTATAGTAATGTGAACGGAAAACATTCATTTACCAAGCTCACTATTAATACTGCATACTCTTTAGACGTGCCCCGCGTTCTATAGCGGTCATAGATCCCGTACATCTTTTTTTTCTTCAACCCGTATCTACCCAATGCTGAGCGTAGGTCACCTCAAATACACTATATTTTTTTCAGTCTCTTGCATCCATTCCTTACCAGCTATTTTGACCAGGTCGTCGGTCCACCGCATTGGTTGTCTGCTCACGTTACGACGTCCAGTAGGAGGTCTCCCGTACAGTACTATTGTGCCCCACCGATTGTCATGGGACAGCATATATGGCCGGCTCACTTCTACTTTCACCGAGCAATCACTTTCGCCATTTCAGTCAAAACAGTTCTTCTGCTGATTTCGATATTTCGCACCCTATCCCGGAAAGATATGCCTGACAGCCCGAAATATAGCTCTTTGCGTGCCCGTTCATCAATTAATTTTTAATATTTCAAAAACTTCAAAAAAAAATTAAGGAAAAAAAGTATACTTAACCATTTCGCTGTTACTTAAATATTTGTTAAAAGACTCACCACATCAACTGGCTCGTCGGGCCAACCGAAACACTCGAGTGTGTCTGAATCAATCAGTTTGAACAGCATTTTCCCTAAGTTGTCCAAAAGCTCCTCTTCTGTCATCAATGGTCCATTATCGTTTTGCGTCTAGAAACAAATTTTACTAAACACAATGATGATAGAATATATATTAAAGACGAGCGAAAACGGATACTCAAATATATCACAACTACATACGGAGGGGGTGAAAGGCTATTTGGTTTTAGCTACATTTCGCTTAATCCGCGACAATTACCGTTGTAATTAAGTGCGTTTTATTTGGTATTAGTATCAACTTTGGGAATGCTTAGACGACGAAAGGAAAAATCTTCCACCGAGCGTGTGATATTTGCTCGGTAGATCGACGGTCCAAATGTTTTTGTTCGGAACTTGTATATATGCAAGCTTGTCTTGAAAATGTCGTAAGCGACATTCAGGCATCTGTCAAATATCTTGCGTTGTATGATGGATTGTGGCTACCGGCCACATCAACAATTCGATGTTTTTAATTGAACTTCAATTAAGTTTACCCCATTCAAATAGCTGAAGAAGTTTTTTGTTATATTTTTTCCAAATTTTAACCTTTAAATGGCTCTCCTGTAAAGTTGCAAAAATTTCGCTCAAACCAAACAGCCTTTCACCCCTCGATATAATCATAAATTGTGTTTTAAAAGTATTCACGAAATTAAAAGATGACAGGAGAAAAATTAATTGCACACTCCATGATCTTTTTCGTTTTTATTAACTCGGGATGTATCTTGACGGGATGATTTTCACTTCCTTCAAAACATCGGATTGATTTGAAACTTGACACACATATCAAAGACCGATATTAAATTTATAGAAATTTATTTTCAAATTTTTAGTTCAGCTAGCTACAAACGCGTGGTTTTTTGTTTTTAAATTATTATTTATTAAACTAGCATAATAATATTTAAAGTGAGCAATAGATTGCTTAATGGCGAAATGGCCGGGACGCTAGCAAAACATTCAACTGGCATCGACAACAAGTCTGCCATACCCAACACCATATCATATACATAAAAACATATCTGTAGATCTATGTATCTTATAGATGTAAAGCTTGTTTATAAAATAAACATGTTTAATTACATATTTGAAATTAAAAACTTTTTTTCCGCTCTTGTAAGCTTTTCATATGAAATAATAAGGTTGGGGAAAAAGTCTTTTCGCATTATAGTATGTATTAACTTGTAATAAAATCTCTTTGGCTATACTATTTGTATCTGGCTGGTTTTGGTGTCATTAAAAGTTTACATTTTAAAGAAGATAATTCCAAAGTCAAATTAGGAAAATGACTTTTATTTATTTTTCGTACTGTCAAGATGTGTGAATCTAATGAAGAATTTCGATACATTTTAAAATTTTATTAAAAAAAAGGTAAAAATGCTAAATAGGCCGCGTAAAAAAATTGCGATGTTTATAGACCTAGTGCTGTGAGAGTAGCACAAATTTGGTTTAAGCGTTTTCAATCCGGAAATGTTGATGTCAAAGATGCACGTCGCTCTGGTCGCCCTGTTACGGATAAAATAGATGCCTTTTTTTTAAAAATGGAGTAAGATCGGCATATCAGCAGTTAGGACGTAGCTGAAGAACTGGGAATTGACTACAAAACAGTTTTGACGCATTTGAAAAAAACTGGGTACACAAAAAAGCCTGGGCACCTCACGAGGTATTTGGGTACCTCACGAGCTCACTGAAAGATACCTCGTAGAAGAATCGTGTAATCATTTGTGATTCTTTATCACGACGTAATGAAACCGAATCATTTTTGAAGAAGCTGATAACTGGTGATGAAAAGTGCATCACGTACGACAAGAACGTGCGAAAAAGGTCGTGTTCAAAGGCCGGCCAGGCTTCACAGACTGTGGCGAAACCCGGGTTAACTCACAACAAGGTGATGCTGTGTGTGTGGTGGGATTGGAAGGGCATTATTCATTATGAGCCGTTACCACCAGGCAGGACCATCGATTCTGAACTCTACTGCGAACAACTGATGAGATTAAAGCAAGAAGTTGAGAGAAAGCGGCCGGAATCAATCAACAGGAGGGGTGTGGTTTTTCATCATGATAACCTCACATATCTTTAGCCATTCAGCAAAAATTAAGAGAGCTTGGCTGGGAGGTCTTAATGCATCCGCCGCATAGTCCTGACCTTGCATCTTCAGATTTCCACCTGTTTCGGTCTCCTCAGAATTCTTTAGGCAGTGTCAGGTTAGCATCACGAGAGGACTTCCAAAACCAATTGTCGCGGTATTTTAATCAGAAGCCCCAAAATTTCCCTATCTATAAGATGGTAAAAAGTTATTGAACAAAATGGTACCTACATACTTTAGTTAATTGTAAATAAACTATATTAAAAAAAGTTGTAAATTTTCTTGAAAAATGCGAAGAAACTTTTCCCCAACCTTATATAAACATCCTCATTAACTAATTGAAGCAAGCTTACAGAGATGTTTTCGTCACTGTTTTCGTTGACATCTTTTTGTTCCTGCATGCCGCCGTACAACACGCCGGTCCCCCCGTAGCCGTCCATGATCCGATCCGACTCCGCGTCCAGCATGTTCAATATACACTCTAGTTCCGACTTCTTCACTCTCACCGTATTCGCTTCGATACCCTGTCGTGTTATTAAACCAGTTTTATTATATATTTTCTAGTTTTGTGGTAATCAAAACAATTGAACATAACAAAAATGCAAATGTTTTCAAGATCATTTTGTAAATTGTCAACCACTCACACATTTACACAACTTAATAATACCAATAAAAAATTATTTCATATGACAGAAAAGTTTTATGTAAATAATATCGCCATTAGCCATTAGTCAAATATATACTTGACTATATATATTATAACACATATATAATATATTATATATTTGACTTTTAACTTTTTACTAATTTAACTTTACAAAATTATTGTAAAATTGGTGTAGAGGAGGCACTCACGAGCACCGTGCGCACGTGCTTGAGGTGCGCACTGAACACGGTGGGGTGATGCACGCGCACGTGCTTTACGAGCTTCTCGCCTCGCACGTAGGCGCGCGCCGACACGCAGTACATGCAGCGCCGCGGCCGCTCCAGTGTGTGCGTGGACAGGTGCCGCCGCATGTGCAGCTCCACCGCGAACCGCTTGCCGCACACTTCGCACTCGTATGCTGGCGACATACACGCACGGTGGGTGCCGGCTCCCATAGACACGTCACGATTCCGATCCGCTCGTAGATTCAGTGAAGTATTCTTGCTAGGATATGTGTAAAGCCTGCAATACATGTTGGCCGAGCGTCGCCGAGTGAACGCCAATACCAACGTATATACAGTATATTTGCATTGTCTTGGCATCGTTCGGTGTCGCTCGCCTAGTTAGCCGAGTAAAGTCAAGCGCTAACGTGTATCATATCATGTAGAACTTATTTGGCGTAGCTTGTCACAACATAAACTTGCCGAACGTGTAGGCAGTAGCACTTGCCTTGTATTAATTTGCCTACGCTCGCGTTAGTCCAACCTCGGCCAACATGACGTATTGCAGGCTTTAGCATGTCCTCTCAAGTTGAGCCTCATGAACTCGCCTACTCAACACATGCGAAGCGGCAATAGCTCCTCGAAGCTACTAACAATTAGGTAAAAATTTCTATTTGTATTGTACATGTTTGAAGATATTTTAACAGAAAATATGTTCTTAATTTTCGGTACAAATTTCCATCTTTTTTTTAAGATTACAGTATAGTTTATTATATACAGACCGGAAGTTATACTCACGTCTATCTTCGAGGTGCACTTTTACGTGTTTCTGCAATTGAGCCTCACTTAAAAATGGTTTTTTAGAGAACTGGCAATCTTGGAAACGACACGCGAATTTGCTATTTCCTTTGTGTACGTTTTTGTGGTCTAACAATCTGTAATCATTTAGATTTGCAATTTATGTTTAGTAATTAAAATTTATCTCCATAAGCATACTATCCTATGCATTGGATATTTTTTGGAATTGATTGTGGAGACATGTTAAGTTAAATTTGGCCTAAAATTTATTGGGGCATGAACGATAATATAATCGAGTGACAATATTCAAAGGACTGAACTAAGAGAATATTACCTCGGAACAAATAAGTTTGTTTATTACACTTCATTTATTTATCTACGCATTGGCGAATTCAAGGTCTAAGGCATTCTCTACTAGTTTACCAAAGGTAGTGCATAGGTGCATAGTGCAATGGTAGGTAAACAATGATCGGTGCATTTACTCCACTTCGATAAAGCGGCACGACACGAGAACCCTCTCATCGTGGCCGCCGGTAACTACATTCCCGATCCTGCGGACAGAATGGAAAGCAGTCGACGTCGCCCAAAACACGTCATCTCGGATCCTCCCGATCCACTAACGGTGCTTCTAGGTACTTCAAGCACCGGTCACCGTTCTCGTCGAACCCGTCGCTTGCGACGAAGAGCTCGACGAGTAAATTAACTCTCAGACACAGCCCACTGAGTTTCTCGCCGGATCTTCTCAGTGAGTCGCGTTTCCGATCCGGTGGTAGATTCTGCGAAGCACGGCTCTTGCTAGGGTTCGTGTTAGCATCGTCGTCAGGTTTGAGCCCCGTGAGCTCACCTACTAGTTAAGGTTCCGCTGGAATAGCCTCTCTAGGCTACCAGCTTAGGTAGGGGAAAAAAAAGCATTTACTGAGAATAATAAATTCGACTTTCTACCCAGAATAACTTTCCGTATTAAAAAGGAATATTTTTTTTTATTGCCTTTGTAGGCAGACGAGCATACGGCCCACCTGATGGTGAGTGGTTACCGTCGCCCATGGACTTCAGCAATGCCAGGGGCAGAGCCAAGCCGCTGCCTACCACTTAATACTCTCCACAAGCCTCGTTTGAAGAAGGACATATCATAGCGCTCGGGAAACACCGTGGAGGGGAGCTCATTCCATAGCCGGATGGTACGTGGCAAAAAAGACCTCTGGAAACTATGAATGAGTGCAGTCGCTCCAGGTAGTATGGATAAACTCTACTCCGGTGGCGGGCGGTGCGATGGTAAGAACAAGATGAAGGTATCATCTCGAACAATTCCTCAGAGCACTCCCCATGGAACATACGGTACAAAATACAGAGGGAACCGAAGTCCCTCCGCAGACCCAGAGGTTCCAAACGATCCGTGAGAATGGGATTATCGACAATCCGAACAGCCCTCTTCTGTATGGAGTCAAATGAAAAAAGCTGGTATTTGGGAGCCCCGGCCCAGAGAAGGGAGCAGTACTCCACGCGAGGCCGGACTTGTGCTTTATAAAGCTAAAGTCTTTGTTCAGGCGTGAAGTACCGCTTCGCTCTGTTGAGGACTCCCAGCATTTTAGACGTCAACTTGGCTTTGCCTTCCAAATGACTCCGAAATTGGAACCGCTCGAAATGTCGACCCCAAGTATCCCAATACTCTCAGAAGGTTGCAGGGATACTCCTTGGAATTGCGACGCCATGACAAAGGGGTCCTTCTTCGCAGTGAACGCGCAAACTTGTGTCTTTAACGGGTTGAATTGAACCAAGTTCAATTCACCCCATTCGTAGACTCGCCCCAGAGAGTTCTCCATTTCAGATACAAGTTTTGATCGTCTCTCTTGCACCACGCTCCGAGAGAGACTCTGATGGCCGATATATCGCGCATCCCCCGTGCTGTCATCCGCATAGCAATGCATGCCATCAATAGACAGCATGTCATTGATATACAGGATGAAAAGCGTGGGGGAGGGCACCGAACCTTGTGGAACGCCAGCGTTAATGGTCATGGTATCAGAACAGTCACCGTCTACAACGACCGTGATGCTCCGCCCATTCAAAAAGCTAGCGATCCACTTGCAGAGACCCTCGGGGATTCCGTAAGATGGTAGCTTCGACAGAAGTGCTCTATGCCAGACCCTGTGAAGGCCTTGGCGATATCAAGGCTCACAGTAAGAGCCTCGCCCTTGCTCTCGAAGGCTTCAGCCCACCTGTGAGTAAGGTATACAAGAAGATCGCCAGCTGAGCGACCGTGACGGAAACCGTACTGCCGGTCACTGATCAGCTGGCGATCCTCAAGATACTTCAGGAGTTTTATATTTATTATTTGCACCATTACCTTGGAAAGCAAGGAAGTTATCGCGATAGGCCTACAGCTCGATGGGTCCAACCGGTCACCCTTCTTGGGGATAGGGTGGACGTGGGCGGTCTTCCATGAAGACGGAACCCTGTTAGTGCAATAAGAGAGGCGATACAAACGCGTTAGCGCAGGCGTCAGCTCAGGGGCGCACGTTTTCAGAACCACTGCAGGGATGCCGTCTGGCCCACTCGACTTATGAACGTCCAGGAGTCGGAGTTCCGGCCTGACTGCACACTGTGTGAAACAGATCAGGGAACTATTACACCGGGGGATGTTCGGTGGTGTGGCACCCCCGTCGTCCACGGTCGAGTTCGAGGCGAAGAGTTTGACCAGAAGGTCAGCCTTCTCTTTCGCACTATGGGCCAGACTGTCATCGGACTTGCGCAGTGGTGGGAGACTAGACCTGCAAAAGTTTCCTTCTGCAGCTTTGGCGAGCAACCAAAAAGCACGGCTCCCAGAGGGATAGCTCTTTAGTCGCTCGCCAACTCTAGCAACGTGCTCCGACTTCGCCCTGGCAATAACCTTCTTGTAGGACCTGGAAGCGGCGTTATATTTCCGCCTTTCCTCTGAGACGTTAGGGTCCTGACCGCTTAAGATGTGCAGCATCCCTACTGGCATTGTTATACCAGGGCAGAGGAGGGAATAAACAATTCCATCCCCTGGAGCACCACGTCTTTAAGACGGTCCGCACAGACGTCAGGATCAGCAAAGGAAAAGCAAAACCGCCCCCATGGGTAGGATGCGTAAAATTCACGCAATCCATCCCAAACTGCCGACATATACCGCCAGACTCTTCGACACCCGGTCGTCGTTCGACGACCAGGACGAGAGAGTGGTATGGCAGCACGGGTAAGGCAGTGATCAGACGATCCAAGCGGAGCGTCGACCGCCACACTGTATCCGGCTGGATCGGTGGTCAGCAGAAGGTCCAACAGAGAAGGCTCGTGCCCCTCAAGCCGTAGGCCAGGGAGAAATCATAGGCAGCCCGACCCGGGAGGTCAGTGGTTCTGGACCCCAACCACTTTTGGTGGTGAGCTTTAAAGTCTCCAAGAACCACAACCTCCGCAGATGGGTACTGCTCAAGCACGCGGCTAGTCCCCTCTTGCACATGCTCTATCAGAGCTGAACCTGCATGACTGCTGTGGGACCTGTACAGGCAGGCGTAGACTCGGGTACAACTCCCGTGGTCTACGCGCAGGCACAAGAGAGACAGGTCCCGTTGTTCGAGGCCTCGTAGACGGCGACAACAGACATCAGCCCGGACGAATACACACACCCCGGCTTTACGCAGGAAGTTGTGCTCCAATACGTAGCCGGGGTATTCAAGGTATGAAGTATCATCCGGAGCAGATATCTGCGTCTCCGTCAGAAAAAGTAGGGCAGGCTGCGCCGTCTCAAGATGGTGGTGTACGGCGTCGAGGTTACTATGTAGGCCCCTTACATTGCTGAAATCCACATTAAATGTGGAATGGGGAATCACCGACAAAACCCTTTTCCTTTTTCGAACTTTCATATATTTTATTTTATTTAGAGAGTGGGATTGGGTGGGGTAGGATGTTCGAGGCGAAATCATGACAATACCTGAATAAAGCGCGGAACACAGTGCGTGCTCGACCACGGGTTGCGTGAGAGACTTACGCAGGGCATGGAAGGGCCCTCAGTCCACCCTGCGTGCAATCGCCGGGATCCACTCCGGTCTCCGACTCCGACACGACGACCACACGACAGGATTTTACACCGGTTGACGGGACAGCTTCCCGGGGTGGAGTTTAGTAGTGACGCCCGGGTTCAGGTCCCCTACTGACCGGCGGGTGGCGAACACCATTTCACTGGGTCTCTCTATACGCCCGTCCAACAATCACGTCTCGCGAGCTCGCACGCACGTCTGCTCCGCATGTTCCAGGTATCATCAAGATTCACCCCCAACAAGGAAGAGGAAAGGGAAGGCATAAAACTGGCTCTCCAACTCACACGCCGGAACACAGCTAGGCTATTTGGCGGCGGACTCAAGTTGGAATGTGGTCGCCAGCCAGTCGGACAAGTCCTACCACCGATTATATTTTCGGCTCCCGTTTAGCACCATCCAGGGGTCACTTGTAGGAAATCGCGGGTTAGACCTACGGAAGCAGGAAGCAATCAACCCAGACCCCCCAATATTCCGACCGGCAGTTTCATGTTGTCCAAAATTAATCAAGAGCATTGGAAGTATTGTGCCAAAATATTAGTTAGTCATTCTAAGCCTTATGTTAAATCACTTAATGTATAGTTTGCTCATGAGTGCTCGGATTTATTTACTTTCACAAGGGATTAGGAAAGTAAAAATGTGCTGAAATTCAGTTAATAATAGTAAAAAATCAAAGAACTCACTGGCATGTTCTCGAGAAAGTTTCTCCACATTTAAGGCACATTTTCTGCGTATTGTGCTTGTCTAGATGTCGCTGAAGCTGCGATTTCTGTATGTACGACCTGTTACAATGCTTGCATTTGTGAGGTTTATCCGTAACGTGAGTCAAGATGTGACGCCGCATTACTTCTACCGTGTATGTAGCATAGCCACACTGAAATTATAAAGTAAATAGATTAGACACCATTAAACATTAAACAAAAAAATAATGGTATAAATTAATCGTTTAAATGGGCACAAATTCAAAGTCTTTTTTGTTTTTTCTGAGTACTGAGTAAGGGTTCAAGTTCGAAAATGTCGATCAATTTAATTAAAATTGTTTTTTTTTTTCAAACCATTTCAAAAGAGCCGTATTTTCATATTTTCACTTATATTAAGTTTGATTGTGAATCCGACAGGCCATGGCGTCACCGTCCACAAAAGCAATTTCATAAATAAATACAAATCATCAGTGACTGACGGCAGCTGCAATTGAACAACAACATTGTCATGGCAATCAGCAATCTGCCCGTAAATTCACAATCATACTTGTAAATGGTTTGGTTGACTGGACAAAAATGCTAAAATGAATATTTTCTAACAACTTACCATTTATTTTTACCCAGGAAGCAGAGAAATATAATTTTAAAAATTAGTAATATAATAAAAATTTGAAGAAATAGTTTTATGATCTTGTTCTCTGAATAGTTACTTAGTTCAAATATAATTATTTCACATAGATTACAATAAAGCAAAAGGTTACCACTTCACAGGTGTAGTTTTTCTCTCCATGTATTTCTAAATGTTTGGCCATGGCTGCTCGGGAACTGGTAGATTTACCGCAATGATAGCATTCATAATAATTTGGTGTCCCTTTAAAATTAAATATTTTTATAAGTGTTTCAGTGTGATATACAACAGTAAAGCAAGGAAATACTTAGAGAATATTGTGATAATGTTTTGTTGAACTTATTATTGTATTTTTTATACTTATGCAAAGAGGTAGACAATTATTAGAGCCCATGGATATCATAATGTCAGTGCCACCAGCCAATATGGGACATGAGGTCCATGTTTTAATTTTATTGTAGAAAAGTTTTTCCCATCTTCAAACCAGAATGAGTGACTGTGTGACTGAACTGTTTAAATTAACATTTTAGATAATCCGAAATCATTGTTCCCTGTAGTTGTAAAATTGTAATTACTACTTGAAACAGTCTTTTATGTAATTAAAACATTCAACCTCAACAATAATTACCTGAATGTTTTAAATGCCAATGATTTACTAGTCTAGAAAAGTTTTTAGTTTCAAAAGTACATGACTTGCAGAAAAAGTATTTTTCACTTTTATGTATGTGCTGAGTTCTAAGATGTACGATCAGATTATCTTTCCTTGTGAATTTTGACTTGCAAATCTGAAATAAAATAAACAAGATGATAATTCAAAATCTAATGTAAGCTTTAAAATTCTTTTAGTCTTAACTCAATTGAATTCATCAGTGCCCACCAGTGAGTGGGTATCTGGAGGGGGATGAAAATATTTAGAATTCGTTTAGTAAGAATTAGTCAAAGTATTGGTTTATTTTCTTATATAGGTTAATGAGCTCACGGCCCACCAGGTGTTATATGATTTCCGGAGCCCATAGACACCTACGACGTAAATGCCGCCACCTACCTTGTGACACCAGTTCTTAGGTCTCAGATTTTACAGGACAACGGCTGCCCCACCCTTGAAACCGAAACGTATTACTGTTTCACTGCAGGAAGAAACAGTGTGGTGGTACCAACCCGTACAGATTCACAATTTTCTACCACCAGTAATTATGCAAATTATATTTTTTATGTTATTTTATGTTATTCGTTCGGCGTGGAAGTCAATTGTGAACATTTGTCAAGTACGTATTTCATTGGTAAAATTGGTACCTGCCAGTGGGATTCAGGCACCAATGCATCGCTACATACGAATGCATCGGGCGACTTACCCTTTAGGCCACGACAACTTCAAAACTTTATTTTTTGATACATAGGGATCAAACATACTATTCACCATACAAAAATGCTAGACAAGCTGTTTGTAAAATCACTTTTGCCCACATATACAATCATACACACTACCAGTTCTTCAATTACTTGATAATTTTCATTCAAGTTGAAATAAATAAGGACTCTGTAGTTATAATAGATTATTTAAAGTACATACTTACTTCACAAGGATACAAATTTAACTGACGACCATGACAGCCACTTTGTGTCATATGACGAGTTACATGAGATCGTCTTACAAACTCTTTGTTGCATTCTGGACATACATATAAGGCTCTTTCATGTATTGTCTCTATGTGTTCCTTCAGAACAGTTTCATTTGGACACCGTACTTTACATTTTGTGCAAGCAACACTATTAGGTAATGTGGAGTGGTTCATTTCTATGTGCTGAAGATGACTCTTTTTGAACTTAAATTTCTTCCCACATTCTTTGCAGCAATATGGTTGCTAAAAAAAGGGTGGAAGATCTTATTTAGGAATTGTTAAAACGCAAAATTTATAAGTAGGTAATGTAAAAGTTACGAACCTTATTATTTGAACTCATACGACAGATTTCCACGTGACTCTCCCATTCGTCCTCGTCACAGGACTTTTTACATATTGTACAAACATAAACTTGTCCAGAATTAACTTCTTGTTTGATATCTGTTGGTTGATCTGTGTTGCTTGACTTGGGTTTTTTATTCTTGGACCCTGGGGGGCGACCCACTCTCTTACCTTTACGAGGCATCTTCAATTAAGTTTGCAAATCGTGTTTACAGAACAATAGTTTATTTAGTTTACAAAACGAAACTACATAAACAATCAAGAAGTTAGTGGGTATACACTTTGATATTACTTTCACTCAGGCGCTTTGAGAAAATTGTATAGCTTCATACAATTTGGTCTTCAAGTAAACTTTAGACAGAACAGAGCATCAGGCGCCACGTCTGCATATTAAATTTACATTCAGTCTTGCCAATGTAGTGTAGATCTAAGGAAAAGCATATCGAGCGACAATTTTAAACGATTAATTAAGACATAAATAAGTCTTGTTAAAATATTTATTTTGTAATAAATTGATTAATTTGATGCAATTAAAAAAAAATATTGATAATTAAAGACCTACAAATTGTACATAGACAATATATAAACATTAGTAATTGTGCTGGTTTGTGCTTACGTAGGATAATCTATGATACGGTAAGTCTGCTTTTTTTTTCATTATAGAAATGAGCTTCTTGTCATGATATAGCGTATGTTGAGTTCAAATTAAAATTATGTGGAATTTTTTTCGAAAGTGGGAAAGGTGTATTGTAAATTACCAACTTGGGATATGCGTACTTCTGGGGTGTTCCGAATCCCATTGGGGGTACGTGATAATTATATTGGTAATGGCCGTAAATACTGAGAAGTTAAAGTAGTTAACTTAAAAAAATTAAAAATATGATTATAATGTTGTTTTGTCTACAACATATAGTTTCAAATGAACTTTATTCTAATAACTATTTAATAAAAACGACCGATAGACCAGAAATGAGACATTTTATAAGAATGGAGTTATCAGGATTGAATCGAAGAGAAATGAGACACATTAGGTATGGAGTTATCAAGGTAGGAGAACTCAAAAAAAGCTTAAGGGGTATGGGAGTGAAAAATGTTTGGAAAGCACTGCTTTAGATCACCGTGGCGGGCACCGTGGAGTTTCATAGCAGCCAACAAAAATCAATCCTTTTTTTTTAAAGTACGTAATAAAAACAAGATCGCTGTTGCGCAAATTATTTTAGATTGACAATTTGAAAGCTCCGTAAATCCTTGTATTTTACTGAGTGTTCATTTAATGCCATTCCATCCCATCTCATTGGTTTTAAATATGTTTTATTCTTTTTCACTTTTCATTCAAACGATATGGGTTTTGCCTGGAATTTTTGACAATTGTCATTAAAGCTATCATGAAAATGGGTATCGGCTGTATGGGCATATATCCCGTTCCACCAACAAAACATTTTTGGGTTCTAAGCCGTTTCCATGGGAACGTACAGTGTACACAAAGTTAAAAATACCACGACTCCTGACAACCTTTATGAAACCTATGTTTCTTGTTAAATTATTGTAATCAACAATTTTTTGTGTCGTTAAGAATAGGTATATGGTTATTTAATATTTATTGCTTCATGTTTACTTTGTAATATGTGCAATGGAAAAAGAAATAGATCCACAGATCATAAAAGAAACTCAAACATCTCTCGGAAAATATGTGAAGAGGCCGCCTTTAAGTGAAAAATTACTGAAGAAGCCTCCCTTTAGATTTCTACATGATATTATTACTAGCGTGAGTGCATATATTTTTCAAAGCACTTTTAGAAACACACTTAGAAAATTAAAAATAGCAATGACTTCAAAAATGCACTTTTCCAGTGACGTATGTTAAGATTCAGCGCCCTGAGCCGATAAGGTTTAACGCCTTAATAAAATAAACGAAAAAAATATTTTTTTAATACGAAATTAAATCGTGCTTTATTGTTTGTGTGTAAAGAATAATCATAAAGAATGATTTCTCCGGTTTGAGCCCCGTGAGCTCACCTACACAAGCTAGGGTACGCTGAAATAGCCTCTCAAGGCTATCAGCATAGGTAGGAAAAAAAAAAAAAAAAAAAAAAGTATGCATATATGAAAATGGCCTAGTAAAGAAAAAGCAAAACTGAGCGCGTAATGATGCGGTTTGCGTCTATCCTAACAGGAGCCTTTTTGGTTTTAGGGTATCTACCCTAGAACCCTAGAGGCGTATTTACGCTGTGTAATTCCACTGACGAGACCTGTTACAGAAAAATGACCAATCTGAACAAAAATTAAATAAAGCAACACCATATCTATCTATACTTTATTTTTTAATATTAAAAAGCTGAATAGTTTGTTTGTTTGGTTGAACTCGCTAATCTCAGGAACGACTGGTCCGATTTGAAAAATTCTTTCAGTGTATATAGGCTATTTAACATCACACTAAGACCAATACGAGCGGAGCACTTATAAATAATGTTTCTAAATCGGGTTTATTTCCTTTTGGGAGCCTCCGCTGCGTGCGCTGCGGAAACGGTTTAAGTGTCGCTAAAATAAAGTATGACAAAAAAATTCCCCTTTAAAAGTTCTAAAAAAAAGTCCGCGACGGCATATATTGGCTCACTATAACCTTTTTTAAACTAACCAAATTTGTTCTAAAATAAAGCATTATTTGTGACGGTGTTTTTATAAAGATGATATTAATCCTTATCCAAAGAAATACGTTATTCATTCTTTCTTTCTGGTCGTTCCCTCAATGCTGAGGATCGTGACTGTATGTCAATCTTCTCCACTCGGTCCGGTTCTGCGCCATATGTACCGCTCCCTGTATCTGGCCTCCAGTCACCTCCTTGAGTTGGTCCACCCATCTAGCTGGCGCTCTTCCTCTAGCGCGCTTCCCCTCCATTTGTCCGATAATGATGAGTTTCTCCAGACTGTGCAATGAGGATCGCATTATGTGCCCAAAGAAACTCCGGATCCTTTCCTGGCACATAGTCAGCAGGCGCTTGGTGACCCTCAGCTCTTCGAGGATGGAGACATTGGTTCTCATAGTTGTCCAAGGAATGCGTAGCAGCTTTCTCCAGCAATACATTTCAAAGGCCTCGATCTTTTATTCATTACAAGCATTTAATTTAAAAGAAATTGGCCCTTTACATAATTTGATTTCAATGAGTATCCTAGAAGATATCGCAGTTTTAAAATAACATTAGCAAAATGCATAAGAAAAATAATGATCAAGTACGTACCTAATAATGGTGTAGAAGGCGCCGACCGGCCGGTTTAGCGGTAGGCAGCGGCTTGGCTCTGCCCCTGGCATTGATGAAGTCCATAGGCGACGGTAACCACTCGCCATCAGGTGGGCCGTATGCTCGTCTGCCTACAAAGGCAATAAAAAAAAACACACACACACACAAAATAAGAAGAAAAAAGAAGTACCCAAATCATTTCAAGATAGACTGAAAATTGTAGATTTTTTCGATTTCTCCAGGATCCCATCATCAGATCCTGATCCTGATGATTACTTACAGGACCATTCGGGAAGTCTAGCGTTTCGAACAAAAAAAAAGAATTATCAGAATCAGTTCAAGCATTCTCGAGATATCGGTGAACAACATAGATAAAAATATGGTGGTCGAATTGATAACCTCCTCTTTTGAAGTCGGTTAAAAAGCGTGACTTTGGTCCCTTAAATAGCTCCTTAACATTCTATTATTAAATAATATTTACACCTTCTATGAAGTCCCGGGTAAAATTTAGCGTTATCCCAAAGTAAACTAAAGTCTAAGTAAAATAGTCTGATATTACTTACAAAATGGCTTAAGTAGCTAACATGTCCTGGTAACTAATTTTTTATTACCATTGTACTCACGGCCTGATCTGAGCTGATGTTAATCTGTTACCAAAGTCCATAGACCTCGAGCTATGTAAGTTTAAGTTTTTACTACTCATTTTCTCTAATGCTTTTTTATTACTAATTCTAGGTTTTAAAAACAACTGGATTTTTCGAAGGTTTATTTGAAAAGGACGAGTTAACTTCTGAGAATGTTAAAGATAGAGAGAGTAAAATACAGTTTTTAAATAAAGTCATTTCAGTTATACGTAAGTTGATTTTAGATGTATAGATGGATGAACGTGCTCACAGCTCGCCTGGGGTTCTAATATCGGAGTCCATAGACTTCAAAAAGTGAATACCTGCCTTTACTAGGGTCTCTATTTCAATTGGATAGTAGTTCTGCAAATTAGTTTTATGTAAAATTTTAAAGCTAAAATAGGTGACCGAGCTCACTGCACACCCGTGGTTATCGGAGTTCATACACATCAACAACGGAAATGGCAGCACCCACCTTGAGACATGAGTTATAAATCTTAGTTCTATAAGTTCCATAGCACGATGGCTACTCTACTCTGTCTTAATGTATTAGACAGGCAATATTAAGTTATGAGAATATTGTAAGGTTCAAATAACCCCATCAGACACCGTTTTTTTCTTCAATCTATTAATTACTACCGCTGTCTTGCCCATATTCTTTTCGAAACTTTCGCAGCTGCTATAATATAATATATATTAGATTAATACCTTGTGTTCCCGAACTCACTCACATATTAACAAAATTAAGTATGTATTTAAAAAAACTTACAAGTATTCTTAATTTAGTAAATTTATATACAGATTATACAACAGGAAAACCTATCAATATTAAGCCTTCAAAGATAGTAGCAGGTCAAGAGGCAGAGAAAACGAATGAACTCTTACAATGTTTGGCACAAGCTCTAGACAACAATTTATCGTCAGTAGAAGCAGTGAAAAAATATAAAGAAAATGCATCACAAAATACTGTGCTTATAAAAGAAACAAGATCTAAAGAATCGATTCCTAAGAAAAACAGTACAAAAAACTTAATTTCTAAGAGCAGCGATAATTTATCGAACCTAAAAAACGAAGCAAAAGAAAAATCTTCATCTAAAAAAGAAAAAGTTGAGAACCAACCCAAGCATGAAAATATTGCTAAGAATGAGCCGCAAAACAAAACGAAACAAGCAAAAGGGAATCCAAAAAAAATTGTACCGCAAGGTAAAAAAAAATCTACGGAATCACATGTACAAATAACGGAAAAAGTTAAGACACAAAGAGCTTTACCCGACCCTCAAGAAATTAAAACCCAAGAAAAAATTGAACTCAATGAAGAAACTCAGTGGAAAATAGACAACAAAACTGATAATTCGGATTCAAACACAAACGATGATTTAAATCAAAGCAGTAATATTGAGACACCAGGAGCACAAGACCAATTGAGCACTTCTTACGCTATAAATGAGCAAGATCTGAATTCATCATCATCCTCACAAAATTTAATGGGCGAAAATGTTAATGAAATCAGCATAGATACAAACTCAAAAAAATTACATACAAACGAACATCTATCGTATCAAGATACACCAACTACAGATAATA